GAGCCTGTTTTGATTGGACCGTAGTATTCGGGTTCTGTTTCTGATTGGCTGATATTCTGGTAGCCGGTTCTGAATGGCTGTTGGGGTAATCTTACCCATTGGCTATCACCGAGTGTGAGTGGCAGCGGCAGTGACCAATGAGCCTCCAGGAGTCCCAGCCCCATCAGCACCCTGGACATCATCAAGCCGGAAGTTCTTGTTGTCTACCACGTGGGCAACGTTCAATGTTCTCAGTCTGTTACTAATCCACTGAAGGCCAGGAGAGGCATTGCTGGTGTCTGTGACCCCATGCAATCCAGGGTGAAAATATCAATTAGAAAAGAGCTGATTTCTTTGGAATGAGAATGGATCTGGTTCAGATTCTTTGGAATCAAACTTGCAAATAAGTTGTTTTTTAAATTGAATTAGCTGCTCTTTTTTTTACAATTGAAGTACATTCCCAAAAGTGCAACATAGTGCAAAGAAAGCCAGACTGTTTGGATGACAAAAGGGACAAATTTTAAAATGAAGCTGATAAAGGTACTTATGGAGTCATAGAGCATGGAAATAGACCCTTCAGTCCACCCAGTCCATGCCAAACATATTCCCAAGCTAAACTTGTCCCACGTGCTTGCTCCTGGCCCATATTCCTCCAAACCTTTCCTATTCCTGTACTTATCCAATGTCTTAAATGTTCTAATTGTACCTGCATGTGCCACTTCCTCAGGAAATTCATTCCACACATGAACTACCCCCTGTAAAACAATAAAAGTCTTTTTTTTGAAGTCTCTCTCTCCTCTCACCTCAAAAAAAAATGTGTCCCCTAGTCTTGAAATCCCCTATCCTAGGGAAAATACAGGAAAATACATTAACTCTGTCTATACCCTTCACTATTTTTTTAAACTTCTTTAAGGTGGCTTCTCAACCTCCTAGTGGAAAAAGTCTGAGCCTATCCAGCCTTTCCAGGAGGTTGACTTTACCTCCCTGAAGCTGTTTAAGTGGAAGATACAATTTCAGGCAGGGGACTTGCAGCATCTCTCCCCGTCCCACACTTTCTGTACATTGAATAATGACGAGCTGTGTGAGAAAAAATATCAGGGATTTAGCTATCAAAGTAAACCTGTATTATACAAATTGAAGGGGATGAGAAGAGATAATGTTAACTGAACAGACTTCAGGCTTGGAGAAAAGGCAAGTACCTCGTCAATCTGAATTTTTAAAAATATCTTTTTGTAACGAAGTATTTTATCTGCCACTCAGCCCAGAGATGGTTCTATACCACACCTTATTCATCTTTAAGTAACCTTGCCTCTTGCCTATTGATGGAAGACATGGGAAGCCAAGTCAAATTAACTTGGACAGCCCATGGAAAACCCAATCAACTGGCTGCAGAGTCTGGGAGGGGAGCGACTAGGGAACACTGGCAGTACCTAGTGGTTTCATTCTACAAGTTGTACCTGAAACATAGACTTTACTGCATGATACATGGAGCTGTAAGGACTCGATACAATAGTTGCAGCATGGCTACAGGGGAGATGATGGCTCAGTCGTATTATCGCTAGAGCATTAATCCAGAGTCCCAGATAATGTTCTGGGGACCTGGGTTCAAATCTAGCCATGGTAAATGGTGGAATTTGAATTCAATAAATGTCTGGAATTAGGAGTCTGGTGGGTGACCATTAAATCATTGACCATTGTTGGAAAAACCCATCTGGTTCACTGCATGAAAAAAGAGAACATAAAATATACCTTTAAAGGGAATTCTCTTTTCAGGTGATTAAGATCATTCATCATCAAAGACCTTATGACAATATCCCAAGATGTTCCACAGCAGCATTATAAAATGAAATATTATACAGAGCTACACTAGGACATATTAAACCAGGTGACCAAAAGCTTGGTCAAAATATTAAGGGAGGAATGCAAGAGTTTTTTTTTCATTCCTTTACTGGTAAGCCAGCATATATGCCCATTATTTATTGCCATTTGAACAGAGTATCTTGCTGGACCATTTCAGAGGGCAATTAGGAGTCAACCATATTCCTGCCCTTTAGGGAAGGAAACTGCTGTCCTTCCCTGGTCAGGCCTACTTGTGATCCCGGACCCACAGCGATGTGGTTGACTTTAACTGCCCTCTGGGCAATTAGGGATGGGTAGTAAATGCTGGCCTAGCCAGTGATGCCCACATCCCACGATGAATAAGAAAAGGTCTCTTGGGAAGTTTGTGCATAATCTGTTGAATCATGCAGCTGCAGTACGGTCAGCCTTTATGACAAACCATGTTCATATCAATAATCCTGAGACAATATCCTGGACCTCATTTGTTCAGCAACAGGAGTGTTACAACATTTATTTGTTCACAATTCTGCATTTTGCTTGTTGTTCTGTCACACCTTTAAATATCGATCGAAGTTGTGCTATAAACTCTCAAACCAAATTATACAGGTGAACCTATTTATTTATAACAGGAGGTGGGACGCATGAAGATTGAACTGTTTGCTGATGTAGTGCCAAGGGTAGCAGAGAACATCAGGTATCATACTGCATTTCAATCTCTTCAATAATACTTACTGTAATCATCAATTAATCTTGCTTTATTTATGATTTTTATATTTTTCCTATTTTAGGCAGTTCTGCACTGGAGAATTCAGGTCAGTACTGGTTTGTATTGTACCTACAGTATTTGATCTTGGTTTGATGTTAATAGCTTACCAGGAGGCTCCTAGTGTCACCAATACAAGAAAAAAATTATTCATCTTCTCTTCTCAGCAACCAATCATGTAGTTTCTTTTCCTTCAGATCAGGGAGGAGCAATGGCTTGAATCAGAGGCTGAATCAGGCCTTTTGGTGGTCTCCTGAAGATTAAACATGTCGCTGTTTGTTTTTATATACACATTTTCGCCTGTGCTTCCTTAACTTTTATCTTTCCTGATGTCTGGCTTTTAATACTCCCTGCACTACCAACTCCCCAACCTACTGAAGCCATTATTTTTGAATGAACATGGTTGGTGAGCACTTTTTTTCCTACTGTGAGGACCATTGAATTGAAGCCCATGACTCAAATTGATTGGCCAAGTGAACTTCTCAGCAGTAAAATGCAGCAACCCTGTTTGATTTGTTTTTCTCTTCATCTTCCAGTGCTGGAGATAACAAACACGTCATTCTGACTTAGATCACCAAACTTTAGAGAGTGCAATTGAAAGCAGGGGTTTTCCAACTAAATTCGTTGTCAGATAAGGATAACAACATGGCATTTTGCCCTTTGAATGATTTTTTTTAAGCAACAGAAGCCACTTTTCTCATTCTAATCTGCCTGTTCTCTAGCCACAATACAAACTGCCATCCCTAAAGTGTTTTGAGCATGCTACTCATGCAGTGGACTGAAAACGAAAATGCGTGGTAAAGGAGCGAGGTGAAATGTTTGTTCTACATGCATAGGAAATACTCATGCAGGCCTTCAGATTGTGCTATTGTTTGTTGTTCCCTTATCTTACACTGTTGCCTCAGTTATGTAATAGATTAGGCACCAACCACTAGGGGCTACTTCTGAAATAATGTAACTTCTGTACATCACCTGGATACATACAGTTGTTTGATCTGTGTGTGACCTTGGGTCGGCTTGTAATGATTTTGGATTGTGGCTGCTTTAAATTAGAAACAAAACCGAAAGATTCTTCAAGACGAGTGGTTCATGTCTGTTTACCTTGAATTAATTTATTAACTGCACAAACTGAAGATTTTTCTTTCAACAGGAAGGATGGTGTCCCTATAGGTTATAAAGGAAGTACATTTCACAGGTATGCCATAAATTTTACAACTTTCCTTGAGTTCTGACATAGTTATATTGCTCAATCACGACTTCCTATGAAATAAAAACGGAGCAGAACAGAAGGAGAGTCATATCGCACTGATAGGCTGGACAGCCTGCTCCTCTTCCTGTCGAGCCTGCCCAATACGATCATGGCTGATTGAAGTCCTCTATGCCTTTTACCTCCCCATCCCCCTTACCCTGTACGCCAATGGTAATCTGAAATCTATCAATCCCAACCATAAACATTTCTCAAAGACTGAGTTTCCACACAACTTTGTGGTCAAGAATTACAAAGGTTTACAACACTGAGTAAAAGCACTTCTCCTAATCTCAGATCTAAATGGCATCCCTCTTATTTAGCAATAATGTCTTGAGATAAGAAGACCAAAACCTGCTGAATTTTTTTGAGCATTTTTTTGTTCTTGTTTCTGATCTCCACCATCTGCAGTACTTACTTCTGTTTCCCCCCTCCACAGGACTCTGGATCCCTTAAAGCAGGCTGTGACTAAATTTACTTAAACATTGTAGAGCAAGCCTCGAATTCAACAGAAATCTAACACTAGAATCTGGCTCATTATCATATTGTATCAAACCGTAGTTCAACCAACTTTGGAGTACTGTGTGAGGTTCTGGTTAGTATATTATTAAATGGATACGGAAGCAATGGAGAAGGTACGAATTTACAAAGGTGGTATCAGAAGTGCAAGGTTACATCTATTACAGAATTGTTATGGCACAGAAGCAAGCCATTCAGCCCATCATGTCAGCATCAGCTCTCCCAAGCAGCACTCTTTTTAGTGGCAGTTCCTCCCTTTTCCCTTTAGCCTTGCACATTCTTCCTTTTTGGTTAAGAATCCAATTCCCTCTTGAATGCCTCAATTAAATCTGCCTCCAATGCACCAGACCTTAACAACTCGCTGCCAGGAGGGTTTTCCTTCTCTGCATTGGTGAAGGAAACAATCACTTTAAGTCTGTGCCTCCATCCTTTCATTAATGGAGAAAGCGCATAGACTGAAGTAGGCCCCAAAACTGCTTACGCTATTCCAAATGTGGTCTGGCCGATCTTAGCCTCAGCAATACATCTTTGATCATGTATTCTAACCCTCTTGAAATGAAAGCTAACATTGCACTGCATTGACTGCCAGACTTTAATTTTAAACCAGGCAAGTTTACTGCGATTGGGCAGTCCTGAGAAATGAACCAGTGAATGACCAAGTAAGGAAGTAATACTCTTTGTTTTGTTAGAAGCATAAAATAGAAAACGTTGGACATTGAACTATACAATGGCAATTTTGAGAAACAGAAATACAGATTTATTGGCACCCACACAATGTCAAATTTTCCATAATTTTTGAAGACTTCTACAAAGTCACTTCAGCAATTCTTCAATAATTATGGAGAATTTGACATTGTGTGGGTGCCAATAAATCTGTATTTCTGTTTCCCAAAATTGCCATTGAACTATACAATGTCCAATGTTTTCTATTTCACGCTTCTAACAAAACAAAGAGTATTACTTCCTTACTTGGTCATTCACTGGTTCATTTCTCAGGACTGCCCAATCGCAGTAAACTTGCCTGGTTTAAAATTTCATCAAAGCCTGGCATTCAATGCAGTGCAATGTTAGCATTCATTTCAAGAGGGTTAGAACACAAGAGCAAAGATGTATTGCTGAGGCTGTGTGAGACTCGGCCAGACTACATTTGGAATAGTGTAAGTAGTTTTGGGGTCTGTGTCTAAGGAAGGACGTATTGGCCTTGGAGAAGAACCAGAGGAGGTTTAAAAGAATGATCCCAGAAATCAAGATCTTTTCATAGGAAGAGCAATTGAAAACTCTGGGTCTGTACTCAAAGTTTAGAAGAATTATGGTGTGGGTGGCGGGATCTGATTGAAACTTGCAGAATATGGAGAGACCTGGATAGAGTGAACGTGGAGAAGATGTTTCCATGATTGGAGAGACCAGGACCTAAGGACAACCCTTTAGAAATGAGGTGAGGAGGAATTTCTTCAGCCAAAGGGTGGTGAATCTGTGGAAGTCATTGCTGCAGAAGGCTGTTGAGGCCAAGTCTTTGAGTATATTTAAGACAGATTCTTGATTATTAAGGGGTTAAAGGGTTACAGGGAGAAGGCAGTAGAATGGGGATTGAGAAACATATCAGCCACGATTGAATAGCGAAGCAGACTCAATACACCAAATGGCCTAATTCTGCTGTTATATCTTATAGTGTTAATCAGAATTTACGTGTGCATTCTCCAGTGCAAACCCTTGACCGCCCTGAGTCCACTTGCCAACCAGTCAGTGCTGAGTTCTCATTCGGTATAAATGTTCGTATGCCCCTTGAATTTTTACCCTTGTGAATTATCCTGATAAGTACACGGTGAAAAACTTTGACAAAATACTCAGTTGATTTCCATTGGTTGTAATTAGAGGCTACTTGAAACAGCATTCTCTCCAAATAGAATTACTGACAACGATTTCTTGATTTTTGCTTATGCGGATTCCAAAGGTTGCTGTCAGCTTCAGAGGAGTAACAATGCCGAAAACTGATCATTTCACTGTCATTATCGCTACAAGCCCCAGGCCTTTGTTTCAGGTGTGACCTGTCAAGAACCAGATCAGAATTGCAAACTCCCCATTATATTATGTAGAAAGCAGCAAAAGATGGGGACAAGGATGAAAATACACTAGAGAGGAAATCGAATGACCTGTGAAGACACAGACACAGCATGGATTTACAAAAGGGAAATCATATTTGGCAAACCTACTGGAGTTCTTCAAGGATATAACTAGTAGAGTCAATCAGGAGGAGGCAGTAGGTGTGGTTATTTGGACTTGCAGAAAGGTTTTAATGTGTAAAATCAGAACGCATGAGATTGGGGGTAACGTACTGAGATGGACAGAAAATTGATTAATAGACAGGAGACAAAAAGTAGAAATAAATGGGTCTTTTTCTGAATGGCAGGCAGTGACTAGTGGCGTACCACAGGGATCGATACCAGGACCTCCGCTATTAACAGTGTATAGATTTAGATGGGGCAATTAAATGTGATATCTCAGAATTTGCAGATGACACAACCCTAGGTGGAAGGGTGAGCTATAAGGAGAATGCAGAGATGTTGCAGTGTGATTTGGACAGGCTGTGTGAGTAGGCAAATGCATGGTAGATGAATTAAAATATGGACAAAAGTGAGATTATCCACTTTGGATGCAAAAGTAGACAGGCAGATTATTATTTGAATGGCTGTAAATTGAGAGAGGGGAATGTTCAATGAGACCTGGGCATCCTTGTGCACCACTCGCTGAAAATAAACATTCGGGTGCAGAGGGCAGTAAAGAAGACAAACTGAATGTTAACCTTTATAGCAAGAGGATTTGAGTACAGGAACAGGGATGTCTGGCTGCAATTATACAGGGCATTAATGAGGACATATTTGGAATATTGTGTGCACTTTTAGCCTCATTATCTGAGGAAAGATGCTCTTGCTATAGAGGGAGTGCAGTGAAGGTTTACCAGATTGATTCCTGGGATGGTGTATGAGGAGAGATTGAGTTGGTTAGGATTGTATTGTCTGGAGTTTAGAAGAATGAGCGGGGATCTTGTAGAAACTTCTCAAATTCCAACGGGACCAGACAGGTTAGATGCAGGAAGAATGTTTGTGGTGGGGAAGCCTAGAACTGGGGTCATAGCTTAAGATTAAAGAGTAAACCTTTTAGGACTGAGATAAGAAATTTCTTTACCCATAGAATGGTGAGCCCATGGAATTCACTGCCACAGAAAGCAGTTGAGGCAAAACATCGTGGCTTCAAAAAAGAAGTAGACATAGGTCAAGCCATGATCATATTGAATGGCGGAGCAGACTCGATGGGTTGAATGACTTGCTTCTGCTGCTCTATTCTACATTTCTATGAACTATTTACGAATTTGCTGCAAGGATTGGCACTGGGACCATTGCTTTTTGTCATATATTCATATCCAAATCATTTATGTGAAAGAGAAATGATTAGTAAGTTTGCAGATGACACCAAAATTGGTGGTGCCGTGTGTAGTGAAGGTTATCTCCAAGCAGAACAGGATCTTGATCATATAGGCCAATGGGCCGAGGAGTGGCAGATGAAGTTGAATTTAGATAACTGTGAGGTGTTGCATTTGTAAGGCAAATCAGGGCAGGACTTGCACACTTAATGGTAGGGTCCTGGGGAGTTTGCCAAATAGAGACCTTGGGGTACAAGTTCATAGTTCCTTGGAAGTGGAGTCGCGGGTAGACAGGATGGTGAAGGAAGCATTTTGCTACACTTGCCTTTATTGGTCAGTATATTGAGTACAGAAGTTGTGGCTGGACAGGACATTGGTTAGGCCACTTTTGAAATACTGTGTTCAGTTCTGGTCTCCCAACTATAGAAAAGATGTTGTTGATCCTGAAAGGGTTCAGAAAAGATTTATAAGGATGTTGCTGGGGTTGGAGGGTTTGAACTATAGGGAGAGACTGAATAGGCTGGGGCTATTTTCCATAGAGGTTTATAAAATCATGAGGGGCATGGATAGGGTGAATAGCCAAGGTCTTTTTCACAGGATAGGGATGTCTAAAACTAGAGGGCGTAGTTTTAAGGTGAGAGGGGAAAGGGCAACTTTTTCATTCAATAGGTGGTGCATGTATGAAATGAGCTGCCAGAGGAAGTAGTGGAGGATGGTATGATAATATTTAAAAGCTATCTGGATTGATACATGAATAGGAAGGGTTTAGAGGGGTATGGGCCAAATACTGTTAAATGGGACTAGGTTAATTTAGGATACTTGGTTGGTATAGACAACTCAATAACTAGCTAAATGGTGAATGCATGTATGAACAGCTAAAGCAGTGGGGTTGTGGTGAGTCTGAAATGGAAAGTGGTGGGGTTGTCAAAATGGTGTTTTATTTTGCTAGCTGCTGCAGTCTCCATTGTAGACACCCATTAGCCACGTTCAACGATCTTGGCTAGTTTGATTCTCTCTGTTGTAACGTTTTTCCTATTATTTTATGTTAACATTGCAATAAACATTTCACCACCTTTTTCTGGTCTTTTCTCCAGCAAGTTACTTGCATTTTATCGTTCTTTAGCGCCACAAGCCCTTTCAGGAATGTAATCAAAAAGTAAAATGGTACAAGCTCAAAGAGCTTTATTATACAAAGGACTTAAAAGTAGTAAGGAAGGTGGAGTGGGCAAAGGTCTGGCAGATAGAGGATGATGTTGATAAATGTCAAGTCATCCATTTTGATAGGAATAACAGTAAAATGGACTATTATTTGAACGGTAAAAAATTGCAGCATGCTGCTGTGCAGAGGGACCTGGGTGTCCTTGTGCATGATTTGCAGAAAGTTGGCTTGCAGGTACAAAACGAAATTAAGAAGGCAAATGGAATTTAATCCTTCATTTCTAGCGGGATTGAGTTTAAAAACAGGGAGGTTATGTTGCAACTGTATAAAATGCTGGTGAGGCCACATCTAGAATACTGTGTACAGTTTTGGTCTCCTTATTGGAGAAAGGATGTACTGGCACTGGAGGGGGTGCAGAGGAGAGTCACTAGGTTGATTCTGGAGTTGAGAGGGTTGACTTTGAGGAGAGATTGAGTAGGCTGGGATTATATTCAGTGGAATTGAGAAGAATGACGGGATCTTATAGAAACATAAAATTATGAAAATAATAGATAAAATAGAAGCAGGGAGGTTGTTTCCACTGGCAGGTGAAACTAGAACTAGGGGGCATAGCCTCAGAATAAGGGAGACCAGATTTAGGACTGAATTAAGGAGGAACTTCTTCACCCAAAGTGTTGTAAATCTGTAGAATTCCCTGAATTCTCAGCCATGATCTTATTGAATAGCAGCATGGACTCAAAGGGCCAGATGGCCTACTCTTGCTCCTGATTCTCATATGTCTGTTTTCTTTCTTTCCCTCCTTTTGTTCAGTTTATTTTTACATGCTGTTCATTTGTAATTTTTTTTGAATTCTAACAAGTCCATAGTTCATCTAACTGATCTGTTCCCTGTACAGTGCTGACTGGCTGATTTGAGTATTTCCAACATTTTATGTTTTTGTTTGACTTTTTGGTATTTGCAGGTTTTCATGTATGTTCAAATATGTTCTGTTGTGATTAATTATTGCAGTGCTAGTTTCTATGAAGTAATTGCAACTTCCATTCATCTGCTGCAAAAGAGTCTTTCATTTTTCAGGGTAATCAAGGACTTCATGATACAAGGGGGTGACTTTGTAAATGTAAGTAAGTTATTGAACCAGATTTTGTGGTATTTTCCGAGACAATTACTGCTGACACCTTGTTGGGTATTTGCCACCTTGGCCAATATCTGGGACTAGGTAAGAGTTAGCTTGTTTGAAGTAGCTCATAGACCCAAGACAAAAGGAAACTTAGTGGCAATCTAGTGATCAGTGGTCGAGGATAGAGCACCCGCGCATATCTGCGGAAGGAGTACTCTTTTGAAGTAGGAAGGTTTACTGCGTGATGGCAATAAGTATAAGTACATTTGATCAGGCAAAATTACAAGGGCCTTAGGGAGCTAGTACAGATCTATCTATTGCCTGTAAAAGCTCAAGTAGAATTCCCTGTTTCCACCTATAGGCTGTGTGTGATTTCAGTAGAGTGGGTGGAGCTATGTAACATGAACAGTAATCCCTTTAGAACTATTACCTTCTGTAACTAATAATTAGTGGAGGCAGGGAACAAAGCTGTTTGACCAGGTGGAGGTATCAGAAGTGGGAGGTTATGTGATTAAAAATCTTAAGACTAGTTGGAACACCTGAGCTTGAGCTATCACACACACAGCTGCCAACTTTGTGACCAGCAGGAGTCACTGCTAGCACATGGGGCTGTGTGACATTGATCCAGGCTTGGCTTAATCTGGCAGCGAGTGCAATATACAACATGAAGGAGACTGGGATTTGCCCAAAATTCAAATGTAGGCCACATTCTACGGCAGTTGGAGCTGAATTGAGTAGTGCTTGGGGGTGGGGGCGATTGTTGAGGTGGTGGACTGGAACTTTCATTCTCCATTAGGGCTCAAGAATTCCGAGGTGTGAGTGAGTGCGGTGTAAATGCATCATGAAACAGAACCAGCAAAAATTCAAAACTTGCAATAATGGGGAAAGCTGGATAGACATAATCAGATGGATTTAAATATTATTCTCAACCACCCACCCAAGGTACAGAGGCTTGACCTATGTCCAAGACTGGGCCTCATTAATTTACAGACATTGGATGTGTGATTACCCACAGAAACATTGCATAGCATACAGTGGCACTGGGAAATGGAGCAGGCTGTCCACTCATTATTAATTATATCTATACTGCTGCCTGTCTTATGTCAGGTGAACCTGGTTAAAGGCTCGAATATCTGAGAATTTGTTGCCAACTGAATCCTCCTACTGTAGAAGTCATCCAGGTAGATAAGCTGGAAGTGGCTTAGAGTAGTTGGAAACCCGAAATATCCCTTTAGAGTAAGGCTTAACCTTTATAAGAACGTGTGGAGAGGACATGAAGAGTTGGAAGGCATAGCCTATTGCCAATACCGGATAGCAAATGCAGAAGTGAGCATTGCATAACAACGTGACTGGAATTGCCCATGTCTCTCAAATGCAGCCGTGTAATTTAAGACAAATAACAGCTAGATGCCTACAAGCATGGAGCTAAAGCAAAAATGCTGACGTTGCTGGAAATCTGAAGCAAATACAGAGAACTCCAGAGAAAATCGGCAGGTTTGGCAGCATCTGTGGAGAGAGAGAGAAACAGTTAATGTTTCGAGTCCAATGGCCTTCTGCAGAACTTCAGAACTAATTCTGAAGAAGAATCATACCAGATTACCAACAAGGAACAAGTAAACCACTTGGCCCTTTTGAGTAATAAGATCACAGCTGATCTGATTTTTAAGTTCCACTCTTTATTCCTGCATATCTCCCGATAATTTGTCATCCCCTTAGTAAGCAAGTATTTACCATCTCTGCCTTAAAAATACATAAGGATTCTACATTTGCCGACTAAAGAAGAAAGGAATTCCAAAGACTCTGTCAATCCTTTTGGAGAAAAGATGTTTCCGGTTTTAAATGGGTGCATCCATATTTTTAAACAATGAACCCTAGTTCTCAATTTCCCCAGAAGAGAAAGCTTCCTTTCAATGTCCACCCAGTCAAGTCCTGTCAGGATCTTTTATGTTTCAATTAAGTCACATCTGATTCTCTTAAACTTTAGAGGATTCAGGTCTAGCCTTCACTGAGCTGCTTCCAAGCTTCAACATCCCTCTGTGAGTATGGTGACCGGTACTGAACACGGTACTCCAGGTGCGGTTACACCAAACATCAACTGTTTCTCTCTCAACTGATGCTGCCTGACCTTCTAGTTTCTCCGCATTGTCTGTTTGTTTAAGCACAGAACTTGTGATCATTGTATGGGCACAACTGTTCTTCATCTTTACAAGACATTTGTTCTCCCCAAAGCTGTGGGACCTGATAATTGGACATGGATGCATCCTATCCTTTACCCCTTTATCATTAAGCATTCTTGAAATATTTTATGAAAGTCAGCATTACATAGAAATATGATAGCCCTGTGCTTGGTGTGCGATTTTAAACTTAAAATTGTTAATTTTCTGCATAATCTCTTGAACGTTTATGCTAATGCAGTGAGCCTGTTGCCCACAGGGAGATGGGACTGGTGTATGTAGTATTTATAGAGGACCGTTTGCAGATGAAAACTTCAAACTGAAGCACAATGCCCCTGGTCTCTTATCCATGGTAAGGGAGCTTCAAATTGTTTATGTTACATTCATATTAATGAAAAATGTGTATTTATTAAGAGAAGAAAGAGATTTGCATTTTTCATGACCACCAGAAGTCCCAAATGATTCATTGGCAGTGGAGTGTTTTTGAAGTGTAATTATTGACGTGATGTAGGAGATGCATTGAGATCCCACAAACAGCAATGTGATCAACTCCAGCTAATCTGTTATTAAAACATAAATACTGCCCAGGCCAATGGGCTTTCACCCATATTCTTCTTCAAAATAGTGCCATGGGGTCTATATATCCACCCAAACAGGCAGATGGGGCCTGAGGTTAATATCTGAAAGACTGCACTTCCAAAAGTGCAGCACTCCTTCAGAATGCTGTGGAGTATCTGCTGAGTTTTTTTTTTGCACCCAAGCCGTGCAGTGAAACTTGAACCTGATGGCGGGAAATGTGAAAAGCTGCTTTGAAACTTTTCTTTTTATGTGTTATACTAACCAGGACTTTTTTGTGCGTGTCTAACAGGCAAACAGTGGCCCAAATACAAATGGTTGTCAGTTCTTCATCACATGTTCTAAATGTGATTGGCTTGATGGGAAGCATGTTGTTTTTGGTAAGGAAACAGAAATCTGTCTGAAAGATTTCAGGAGTGGTTGTTGTTCTGGGAACATGTCTATTCTTTAGAGTCAGTACAAAAATGAATCATGCATTAAGTACAAGAAGGACAAATTTCCAGATTTTGTATCCAATTTTATCAATAAAACCAGATGATCAAATTCTGTCTCGGGCTCCTCCTCAATAACTAAAGTTAACCAGCTTGTGGTGGATTTTGGGAGTACTAGGTAACCTGGAGTGTAACTAACAGGTGAAAAATCTGTTTCAGTAATGCCAAGTACCTTCTCAAAGTGGCTATTTGCTCCCTGGCAAGTGAATGATATCAGGTGAAATGTGGCATTGTCTTACTCCTGACTCTGCCACCATCCAAACTTTTAACACTTAGACTGCGGTTCACTGGATAATGATTATGAGCAGGAATCCTGATCAACTTCCCACAAGCTAATCTGGGGAAGCTGAGGCCAAAGGTAGCACCTTTAGTGTCATCAGGCTCTAGTTTTAAATAGCTTTCATTTTAAGATTATTGATGACTGTAACTTCTTGCAGATTGCACACCAACAATTTTGGAATTCAACTTCCAAAACTGCAACAGTCTTCATAATGTTGGGAAGGCAGACAGCTGTTCCTGTTCATTGCAGATCTGACAATTCTCATTTGTGGAAATGAGAATGTTTCCAGAATTTTTTTACAGAAAATCAGCGTGTCCATATTAAAGAAGAAAATGTTTAGCATTGTTACTCTTACTCATGTATTTTAATACTCCTGCTCCGAGTATTGATGTGACCTGCTCATAGGGCAATGCCAATGGTATTTTAAATGTTCTGAACAGAGTGGCTGTTGCATGTTTTTCTGTACTCCCTGTGGGTACAGGCTTCCAATCACTGATTGCAGTGCAAAGCGTTTCTACACACTTGTCAGCATAGAAAAGGCCAAGAATTCAGTGTGCAGAAACTTAGCCACTTGTTCATGTTCACTTACATTTTATTGCCCCTTCCTTGGAAGGTTACTCTATTTATTTAGCCTCTTGAAGGAACCAATACCTTTTTAAAAATCTTATTTTATCCAGGTAAAATAATTGATGGATTGCTTGTAATGAGGAAAATTGAGGTAAGCAATTATCTGTTTTGGTAATATTTATTGCTGCAAAGCAAATACTGTCGCTAAGTTAAACATTTGCTGTACAAACAGTGTTCAGGTGCAATCTGCTGCTAAATGTTTTTCATTTGCATCTAATGTACACACATATTTCAGCAAAAAAAAATTCCATGGATTTTTCAGTGAGGACCAGGGCAGGGGACAGTGTGGTTAAGATGATCATTCTTTCTTGACTCCAATAAATAAATACAGCCTAGTAATTGGAATATGAAAGATGGACCAAAAAATGTTCATGCACATTAATCATTTAGATTCTTCCGAAACATCCATGTGTAATTGCATTTGTAAATTTTTCACCACGCCTCCCAGGGGCATGTAAAATTTTGAGAGAATAGAACTCTGAGAAACTCCACAGATGCCTCCTTGGGCCTGCAAGTGATTGAGTTCAAAATATTCCATTGAGATCTTGATATAATATTATACCAAAACAAAACATTGCATTTACTGGAAATCTGAACCAAATTCTGTTGATAGATCACACTTGAAATGTTGACTCTGTCTCTTCGCAGATGCTGCCAGATCTGCTGAACCTTTCCACATTATCTGCTTTTATTAGCTTTGACCCACTGCATTCCAAACGTAGTTTTATGAGCCAAGCAATGTTGAATGAAAATGTTCCAAGAATTAGTGTCAGCATCATTTCTGCAATAGAACTTTTAGCCAGGTATTCATCCACCCCTTTTTAAAGAAACCGCTTTGTATGGCTTTCTTAAATAATGTTGTTCTTTCCTCTGCTCACATTCTGAATTATCTTCCTATCTTTACGCTATGTCCAAAGGCAGCTAGGTGATTCATCAAATCCTCCATGTAACCAATTGCAAGCAGGCGTGTGATACTACCTGCAAGTGTTGTGCCAGTTTTCTTTTCTGTCCTTCTCCCTGCCCAAGGAGTATCCCACGGTCTCTGCTTGTTGTATCTTGTACAACCCTGCAAATCTACGCAGGCTAATCGTAAAACTAAGATCATGATAATAAGTTACCTGCTGCTAGTTGCAACTGTGGCTAATTTAACTTGCCATCCATTCACTGTTGCTGTCTATAATCTGTATCACCATTATCGTTCCTGGAACGGGGATTTGAAGTTGTTGTTGTATCAAAGATAGGAATACACCAGCATCCCATCTTCACCAACACAAAGGATTTTTTGAGTTGCATGCACACACATTCAGTACCTGGAACTTGGGCACTTCCAACCAGCTTCTAATGTCCTGCTGACTCTTACCAAGTGCTAAATGCATTGACCTGCTTTTATTTTCACTGCAGCCTCTAAAGAAACACCGTTACTTCAGGCACCAATTCAGATTATATCATCTTCAATGTTTAATTCCTACTATTGCACAGAACCAATCTAACCTACTTCTTCATTTACGCCATCATATGATGCCTTGGGGAAGTAATTAATTTACAATTAAAGAGAATAAAAGTAAAAATGATGAAAATAATGTAGTGCTGAAACAATGCACAGGAGCTGTGTCTATGCACTGACCCTGCAGTGCGAGACACCAGTGAATTATTGTTCCCATTTAGTCAGTGTTTTAATCACTGGAATACACTCGAAGGTGATGACAGCAGTTTAGTTAGATTTATTTTTTTTCTCCACCCATCACTTTCCAATCTTTTCAAAGAAGTAGTTAATTCTTGGAACTTCCATTTATTGCCTGTCCGTAATTGTCCTCGGAAAAATAGCTGCACCCTTCACTGATGATATGCATGATGTACTTGGTCCCATGTGGCTGGTGGTGAGATCCAGGATTTTTGACCCAGAAGTTATAAAGCGATGGTGATATATTTCTAAATCAAGACGACGTACCTTGGAGGTGAAAATGTTGCCATACACCTGTTGCTGTTGTGCTTCAGGGTGGTGAGAGACAGTGGACTGTGGTGCTTTTGAAGAGACTGTGGCAAGTTACCGCATTAAAACTTGTTTAGACAGGATAAATGCTTAACTTGTGCATAAAGCAGCATTGAACAAAACACTGTTTTGGATGCTGTGGAGCTTCTTGACTGTTTTTTGTAGTTATAGCTAGCCAGGAAAATGAAGAGAATCTCAACACAATCCAGATTTATGCCTTGTCAATGATGGAGAGGCTTTGAGGAGTCAGAATTTCAACCAGTCACAACTGAATGCCCAGTCTCTGGCCTATCCCCTGCCATCTTTACACTGCCCCCAGACCCACAACTGAACAAAATAATTTTCTTTGTTACTAGATCATTCCCTGTGCCCTTTGCTCCTTGTGGCTCAATCTGTTTTGCAGTCATCACCTGCATCAATCCTGGCCCAGTGTCATGACTCTCTCACCCTCAAACTGTTTGCCTCATTAGAAACAAAAACGGAAGTTGCTGAAAAAACTCGGCAGGTCTGGCAACATGTGTGGAATGAAGTCAGAGTTAACGTTTTCTAAGTTTTTTTTAGGTTTTTAGCTTGATTAGAACACTGAACTTTGTTTTGGCTCCTCTTAAGCAGCCATTTGAAAGTTCAATCAGTTAATGAAATTGTGACTATGAGAATAAAACAGTGTTCTCTTTCAGAAAGCTTTATTGTTCATTATTAATCATTTATAAAACATCTGCCCACAGAATGTTCCTACTGGACCCAGCAACAAGCCGAAACTTCCTGTGGTAATTGCACAATGTGGAGAAATGTAGAGTTTACTGAAACAAAAGAAGAATCCAGTTCTTCGCTATTTAAGAAGTGTAAAGTGACCCGCTTTATGACCTGCACACTATTGTGCTGGCGTTCAGAGGCCAGAGGTTTAAAGTATTAATGAGCACAATCTGGGATTTTGACAACCAGGTTTATTTTAACCTGAGACCTAGGTGAATAGAAAATTTCTGTACTATGAATAAGCTACTCCAAAACCATTTCCCTCTTAAAAATAAAAACATCATTGTAGTAGAGTTCTTGTTTAGAACCTCAGCTTGAGACACAAATTTGCCCTGGTGAACAGCTAGATTTTGAGTCTCCCGGAGCATTTTTTTTCTGGAAATACATTCATCTATATACAAAGTCCAGTGAGTCTCTGTAAGTGAAATCTGAATTTAATTGTCTTTTTAACAACTAAGACATCAAATCATTTATTTTTGTTTTTTGAAAAGCAGTTTGTACTATCTGCCAAATTTGTAAACTTCCCATTTAAGGAGAACAGGATGTCAAGAATATTTTTGCAGCTGTCATGATTTGTAATTTTATATTTCAGTTTCAGTTTATATTTACTTTTCTTTTGAACCTTAAGAATTATGTATACCATTACATCTGAAATAAAACTTTTGGTTGAATGTTACTTAGTGAGTGAGTGATAAATCCCAGTATTAACCATTTCATGGGCTTCTTTATATGTAAGTTTTGGAACCAAAATGTTGTATGAATGAGTGAACATCTGAATTTCATTAGTCTCTGTTTTCCACAACTAATGCATTTTAAATTTTTGATTTCTGGTTAAGTACAAGCACTGGAGCAATAAAAAGGGATCTGGCCCAAAATAACTGGACAGAAGTTAACAAATAGACTGATAGAAGTTGTCAAATATAAAAATACGAAATAAATGTTTTCATAAGGCCAAATATGGTTACAACGAAGAATGAGTTTTAGCTAATGAGAGAGTTTAATACTAAATTGAACTGGTGTAGAAAAGAATTACTAACAGTACATTTACTTATTTGGTATTATAAAACTTGAGTATCGTTTGAAAAAATATTAATTTTGTAAGAGCATTCATCAGGGCAATTCTCAAGAAACATCCAATATAAAAAGAAAACAGCATTTATAATGTAAGATAGAGAGATGGTTAGTTTGCAAGTGGACTCTGGTAGACAAATTGCCATGAAGAATGCACCAGTTAATGATGACTGACAGTTCATTGCCAAGCTTTGTCTAAGTTTTAAACCAAGCAAGTTGATTCTTAATTGGTTATGGCATTGCCATGCAAAATAAACCAGTGAGTAGCTAATAACCATTTTCTGAGTTGAAGTAGGTGTATTGTATGTACCTGATCTTTCTGTCTGCAAAGAACAGGGCCCTGTGTGTAAATATATGTAACTCCCACTACTGGAAAGTAGCCACACTGACAACCTGACAGACAACCTTTATAGTTAGCCAATCAACCATCTGTGCTGTTTCATTTTTGTGTAAGACATCCAGAAGTACTTTTAACAAGTGTCTTGAAGAAGCTTATTAAATGCCATCTGAAAATCCATTTGACTCCCACTATCCTTTTGTTTTTCCAATTATCTCTTCAAAGAGCTGTTAAATTGATTGAATTGGCAGAAATCAATCCTTTCCCTCTGCCCTTGTTAAATGCATGCCTTTCAAAATACTCAATGTTACCTTGAAATATGGATTTTCAAGATCTGTTCCCAATAAGTGTTATTCTGACTGGTTGGTAGGTAATCTGATGTAGACAATAAAGTATAGCAGCAGAATTAGGCTATTCAGCCCATTGAGTCTGCTCCACCATTCAATCATTGCTGATATGTTTCTTAACTCCATTTTCCTGCCTTCCCACCCCTCCACCCCATAACCCTTGATCCCCTTATTAATCAAGAACCTATCTATTTCTCTTAAAGTACCTGAATGATTTTGCCGCAGAAGGCTGTGGAAGCCATGAGTTCCACAGATCCACCACCCTCTGACTGAAGAAATTCCTCCTCCTCTCAGTTCCCATCACTCTGAGACTGTGCCCTCAGGTTCTCATCACTCAACTCGTAAAAAATTGTCACTTCCACTATCTAGGCCTCTTAGTAGTCCAACAGTCATGTCAAGGCTTCCTCACCACTATCACACACCACCCCCCCAAAAAAAACTGCCCCGACAATCCCACCGAGTACAGAGCCAGAGATCTCAACTGCTCCTCAAATGACAAGCCCTACATCCCCGGGAGCATTCTTATGAAGCTCCTCTGGCCCTTCCAAGGTCAGCATGTCCTTCCTCAGATGTAGGGCTCAAAACTGCACACAATATTCCAAAAAGCAGTCTTTTTGATTATTTTTTTTTATAAGAATGCGAAGCTGTTAAAGTGGCAAAGCTCTACATCTATAGCATAACATTTGTATTTGAGAGCTTGTGGCTAGACCATTTGCTTAAGCTTTCTCTAATACTTTGCCATAGCCTAAGATATACACGATCAGGACTTGTTAACATTTCCATCTCAAGTCCTGCACAGTTGTTTAACAATTCCTTATCTACAATTATTGCTAACAGTTGTCCATTACCTTAATTGCACTGTCTGTAGAAAATAAGACAAAATATTTAGTAATCACACTGTACTTTACACCGTTTGACTGCTGTTGTCTTCCTGGAGTGACTTCACTAATATTCCCATTATTTAGATCCGAGAATAGCCTGTACTATTTCTTTATATTATATTATTATTATTATTATTATCATATTATTTTGGCCCATATTTCCTTTTTATCTTTTTTTTTGTAATCCTAACCCTTCTAATCTCACCCTTAAAATCTCAAATTTCTTTGTGGCTTTCTAATGTACTCTTAATCCTGGAAAAGAAGACATTGTGTTGAAACAATTTGTTTTGCACTCTTCAAGACAATTTACAAGAAATACCAGGTGAAGGGAAAGCAACGTTTATACTTTGAGGGAGAGTGAGAGGTATAGATAAGAAGGAGCTTTTCCCTCCTCCCATTGCTGGAGGAATCAATGACCAGGGGACATACAAGGAGCAGGACATTTAGAGGAAAAATCTAGAGCAAGGCTATCGACCAAGTGCTAGAAAATGGGATTAAAATAGGTAGTTGTTTTGACCAGCACAGACCTGATGGGCTGAAGGATCTTTTTCTGTGCTGTATATCTCTGAATCCAGTGCAGATTCATAGGCAATGGCGAATACATGGGTTAATGATGACTAATGTTATAAGTCAAACTTTGTTTTAATTTTAAACCAGGCAAGTTGACTCTTAATTGGTTAAAGCCTTGCCCTGAGAAGTGAACTGGAGAATAGCTGTCACCTGGTTTGCTGAATTGAAACAGGCACTGTGTATCATAAAAGTAGAGTTATGGGTTTTGCTTCAATTGCTCATTTATTGCATTATCTAGAAACCCTCAAACAATTGAATGTAGATTGCAACTTGAAACTGATCAACATACATTTCTTATTTTGATATGTTGAAGAAATATAGAGGCTGTTTAAACATCGTTACAATGCACTTATCATCCCATTTTGTAGTCTGAAGTGATTTGGGTAATAAGAGAAGCAGCGGTGAAGTTGGTCATATTTTATACTCTGTTTGATTGTGGTCAGTGGATTCAGGAACCTGCTAACTGGAATGATGGTAATTGAAATCTTTAAAATACAAGTCTGCAGCACAGAATCAAGTTCTTTTTTAATTCATTCACAGGATGAAGGTGTTGCTGGCTAGAGCAGCATTTATTGTCCATCCCTAATTGCTCAGAGGGCAGTTAAGAGTCAACCACATTGCTGTGGGTCTGGAATCACATGTAGGCCAGACCAAGTAAGGATGGCAGTTTCCTTCCCTAAAGGAAGCAATTGAAAAGTGAACCAACTGATTTGGTCATTCTGTGCAGGTGGTCTGAATTCAACAATTTTCATTTCAGCTCTCTGACTGAGGGCTCTTGTGGTGGAACTTGCTCTAGACATGTGTCATAACATCTCTTCACAGGTTGATTAGAAAATAACTAAAGTTTTGTTCTACGGCTGTTGTGGCACAGTGGTAGTGTCCCTACCTCTGAGCTGAGCAGCCTGGATTCAATCACACCTTCTCCAGAACAGTATAATAACATCTCTGAACAAGTTGATTTTAAAAAAAGGGGGCCATTTCTTCAGCTAGTGTTTGTAAATTGTGTAAAGTTGTAAAGTTGTAAATTGTTTGTAAAGTGGTAAAAAATGAGGATGGGCTCGTGGTTTTTTTAAGTAGGAGAGATTTAGGAAGGAGAGGGAGCAGACTGGAATTTGTATTGAACTATGCAATATAATTGTGTAATTTTGGTAAGTAGGTAACTAGAAATTCAACAGTATAGCTCCGAACTGGAACCTATGCTGTATGTATTGGTTGTAAGACAGTGATCATCTCTGTCATACTACAGAATTATTTTCATGAATCCTTACTCTCATAAGTTTCTAAGGAGTAAGTGTCTTATTTGAAGATGAAGAACGTTGTTAGCACCGTCACTGAATTTCTGAGTCGAATATTGTAGGTAGCTGTAGGTGTTCAAGTAGTATGACTCTGCAGTTAACTCAGGCCCAGTGAAGACCCTTTTTCCACCACCACTCCAGGTGGGTGTCCCAGTGCAGATAGAACTAACCCTAACCATATCGCAGTGGTGCTGGTTATGATGCCTACACTGACTTACTGTGTGAGTGGAGATATGACTAAAGTGAATGGAGCCAATCTGAACGAACATCCAAATTGAGGGTGGCAAGGTGGCTCTGTGGTTAGCACTGCTGCCTCACAGCGCCAGGGACCCGAGTTCGATTCCAGCCTCGGGCAACTGTCTGTGTGGAGTTTGTACATTCTCCCCGTGTCTGCGTGGGTTTCCTCCCACAGTCTGAAGATGTGCAAGTGAGGTGGATTGGCTATACTAAATTGCCCATAGTGTCCAGGGATGTTTAGGTTAGGTGGGTTAGACATGGGAAATGCAGGGGTAGGGGAATGGGTCTGGGTGGGATGCTCTTCGGAGGGGCAGTGTGAATATGTTAGGCCGAATAGCCTGTTTCCGCACTGTTGGGGTTCTATGGTTCTAAATGCGTACAATGTACTTGTACTACCCTGTCTAATCACCTTTTGAAATTAGGTGCTGGAAGGTAAGATTAAAATGAGTGACTGTGTCTTATTGATTTCTAATTTTCAGCTGGTGTGGATACATTGGGCTAAATGGCCTCTTTCTCTGTCATAACCAGGAGAGTAATCAGGAGGTCTGGCTGATAAACATGGAGCTTCTCCCATGCAGTATAACATGCCTCAGCAAAAGTGCTTTGCTCCAAAATCAAATAGGCGATGCCATTGGAAACCCATTTGGTGGTGGAGAGATTTACAATTGGCACAAACTTTCCTGGAAATCAAGCAGGAAATAATGTAATTAAGAAATTTCTGAAATACAATTCCTTTAATCCTAAAGAGAATTTTCCATAATTTTCAATACAACTAGTCAGCTGAAGCATTCGTTCAAAGTCATTTCATGTTCCTTCTGTGTAGTGTTCTGCATGGGTGAATAGTGAACAATAATGCATACATCCAATAGACTGAAAAGTTTATGCTTAAATGAAGTGCATGTTCATTCAAGTGCATGTTTCCTCCACTGTTGGTTCTA